GGGCGTCCACTTCTCTCACGATCCTGGATAGAGTGGGTCTGCTGATATCGTTTAATGGTGCGATGAATGAACATACGATTCGTGCCTTGGCCTGAGAGGTCTTTGAAGATCTCTGGTGGCGTTTTTCCGCTGAGATGAAGCTCAATGATGGCTGCACGTTGTGCATTCATTTTGGCACAAAAAATGATAGGAACTGATGAGACCATTGCTTCATCTGCAACTTTAAGCTACATGTCCATACAAGTCACACGCCCATAGGCTTGTAAAAGATTCTACCCGGGAGACATTCTATGTGAGTCCATAGTTTGTAACAGAACTTCTTACGCACCCTGTAAGCCCTAACCAATGTGTCCTAGAAGCTGAGGAGTACTTCTTGGCTCTAATTATTGCAAACATTCAAAAATGCTGTAATGATATAAAGATGCCAATGCAATGGAAGGATGTATTTAACTGATATATATAAGTTTGCCTAACAATGAAGCATTTGGATTTCATTGCTGCAGTCAAATCAGATTCTTGTTGACTATTGTTTGTAGAGTCTCATGATTAGGGAGTGGATTTTTATGCACTAATGAGTCCTAAAATATGCTCATATACATATGCACTTAAAAATGCCAAAATATGCCTGAAATTATCAGAATATAGGAAAATATGCAAAAACGTTTTTTAGATGCATTGCAAATTTTTTGGGAAAAGGAACTTCCATGTACCAGGTGTTGCACATAGATAGCCCCCCTCACAGCCTAAGCTATAAGAGCTAGGAAAAAAACTCATATATCATGAGAAAGAGCATTCATTTTTTAATCTAACCATGTACCAGTACTTAGTAACCAGTAATTTGTGTGAACTTTGGCTGACAGGTCTGACTGCTTTAAGACAAGTGGGGTAAGATGAAAAGAGACACTTAAAGAGTTTCGTGTCATCTTCCATGTCCTTCAGCACTCAGGTGATGTTGCTTTGCAAGGCTTCTCAGGGGCATCCATGCTGCTTGCTTTCCATATGCATGAGAGCTTCAATTTGATCTTTCAGGATAACCCCAATGTTCTCAGCCACACTCATATCAGGAGAGTTTCCTGGTGATTCCTCATTTCCAAAGAAATCAATCCCTGAGTCTTTCAGCATTTGCTGTGTGGTCAAAGTTTGAAAAACAGGGCTTCATCAGGCAGAAGCTGAACGTTTAATCTTTTTCAAAACCCATGAATTGGCAATGAATTCAGCTCTGGCATCACAAGCTTCTTGAAATGTAATAGCACAGATGCAATCAATGAATACAAGTTTTTCAACACCATACAACATCAGAAAAACAAACTGGGATTGAATAGAACTGAAATTGAACAAGGATTCCAAATATATCAAATATATATTTAAAAATTTTCTAGCTCCTGTAGTTTGGGCTATGGAGGGGGGGGGGGGGGCTATCTATGTGCAACACCTGGTACATTACATGCCTCTACTGGGTATAGTTGGTCTATTCTTGTCACAGCCAGTGGCAAAGCCAGGAATTTGCCAATGGAGGGCTAAGGGAAATGAGTGGGGGCTAGAATTTCCTAAACTTCTCAAGAGGGATGGTGGTAGCAGATGGATTTAGATCAGAGTTTTGGGGGCTCCACCACTCCAACCAGTGCTTAACTGCCAGAAAAGTTTCATAGGTTGCTCATAAGAAACATTTTCCTGGAAAACTCTTATATTTTTAAATAAAAATAGGCAAAATTCCATAAATATGCACATGTTGAGAAATATGTAAAAATGTGCATTTTTGTGTTTTTTTTAAAAATGGCAGAAATTGCTTCCTTCACCAATAAGACGCGATCCTATCTGGGTTGTATGCTCCTAGGAGGCTGCAGAAAAAATATGCATTTGCATAAAAATCTGCTCCTTACTAATGATGAGACAATGGTCACCATGGAGAATGTTCATCATATATATGTGGCTCTTTTTTGACTAATCAGGTTTTGAAGCCTCCTTATTCATCACTTCAAATATGAAAGCTCATCCTTAAATCAAGAATTATTGATACTTAAGTTATTTATCTTGCCTTCTCTCATGTTATTAAGTGGGAGCATTCTCTCGTGTTTATCGTCTTTGCTGAGCAAGCGAATGGACTACCCACTTCTGAAGGAATTGCTCTCCCTGTTTGGTGCAGCCTTATCCATGAGAGAATCTCATGTGAAGGCTGGCCATGATGCCTGTGAGTTTGAGCCACAAATGACTCTTCGCATGTTGCTTGAAGAGACTCCATGCATTTCAGTTGTTATTGTACATAGGTGACATCCTGGTTCCTCGGTTCTGCCAGTACATGAAAGGAAGCTACAGGAAGTTGACAGCATTACAGAAAACTGAGGTAACCAATGGTATGATGCAGCTTTGTGTGTTCCTGACATCTAAATCACCTCTGGAGCCTTGCATATGCTGGAGGAGGATCTTTCAATGTTTTGTGTGGCTGCTGTATCAAGAAGCCCTCTCCTCATCTTCCTCCTCAGTGGATTCAGAATCTGAACGTATGTTACAGTTTACAAGTACTTTTTGTGGCAGTCCTTCAGGGTATTACACTGTGATTACAAACACCCTTTTTCTTCTGCAGGAAGGCAAAGAGACATGCTATCAAGAAGTGTTGGAGTACTGCATCACCTCTTGTACCTACCAGTTGAGATCCAATGGCATACTGAGACTTTCCACACTCTGATATGGCATCTCCTCCAATATCCCACCCTCACATCTCAACGAATGCAGGGTATTTTCCTAAAGTTAACTCCTGCTGTCTCTATTTCAGACATTGCCATTTGAATGAGAAAAAATATAAGCTGTTTTCCTCTCATCAGGTGGACCATTGGAGGACATGTATGAATCTACTAAGGAAGAAGGAACCAGTTGAGTTATCCTGTCCTTAGAGTTGTGATTAATATGGTGATACATTTTTCTTTTGTCATTTCTTAACCTTTGCTCATCATTATGTCTTTTTGCATGAAATGAAGTTTACTGTTGGGTATGATCTGAGATTGGTTGGCATGCACCAGATTGATTTAACTTATTTTGATTTGGTTTTGCGATGGAATCTATGCAGGTGAAGTCAACCCAATTGACTTGAATTTCATACAAATCCAGAATGAAATTGAGTTGGTTTGGGGTAAGTTCTGTCAATCTAGTGCATGTCATCCAATAAATTGACTTTCAAGTTGGGAAAAAGAGAAATTAATTAGGGAGTGTCAAGCTCTGTAGCTTGACAGTGGGATGTTGTCCTATTAACCCCTTGCTGCATTATCATCATCCATTTCTCATGTATTTGTTAATGGTATATATCATGATTCTATATTTTATGAGTTTATTGCTTTGACTGTTGATTGAATTGTTCCCTCTTTCTCTCCTCAAAAGGAGAGAAAGAGGGAAAAAATCCATCATGCTATGTCTGTTCCATTTCTGCTTATATCTTTTATAGTTATTTCATTTAGCATATCTCAGGGAATGCAAGTGCCTTAGCTCATATGCTCATGGGTGAGCCCATGTAGCAACCTGACTGTTGTGAACTTCCAATAAATATGGCAGAGAGGAAATTTAGCCGTGGTCTGAGCAAGCCTGGCATGGCTGCTCAGCTACGAGAACAAGTGAGCCAAGTCCTTCGACAATCAGATTCACAGGTAAGCTTTTTAATCTGCTTCTTCACTTATTGTTTCTCACAAGTCCTGCATTGCTTTTTTTTATGCCTTCTGTAATGCTTAACAAATGTAAACTTTCAGTTTATATTGAATATGATGTGAAAGATACTCTCTCACCTCTGAGAAGTGAAAAAGTATAGTTAAGCAGGCCTTTCCAATGAGATTGTATGCCATTCCATAATCCCCCTATGGGAATAGTTGGCAACACTTATATCAAGTCTTATTCCTGTGAACCAGGTAAGGATTCAACATGTTGACCCTGTGGATTATGAAAATTTCATCTTGAAGCATCGGACTCTGCTTCTGAATGATCCTGAGCGGGACCTACTAATCTTCCCCACTGATGATATATCTGTAAGTTTTTCTTGTATTTGCACCATATTTTTGTTTCCTGAGTTTTGAATGGTAATGGTCTACTTCTGTATTTACCGTAGTTTGAAGAGGTGCCAAGGAAGTGCAGGACAACCATGCCCTCGGTGACTGAAGAAGTGAGAGATGCTGCATCAAGTCTCTTTGTCAAGGAGTGCCTGAAGTCATATACTGAACCATGGAAGGTTATTCAATACAAATTCTCTGCCTATAGTGGCTCATACCTCAATCTCCCCAAGTATGGAACCATCCACCCTCATGAGAGCTATTGTGCTTCAAAGTCAAAGTTTAATTATGGTGTTAAAAAAGTGCTAAACTTTTAGGTTTCCAGAAGTATCTGCCTGCTTGCGTGATGAAGTATATGAAGTGGACGTGAATGATGAAGAAATGGATAATGTGAGTTTATATATGAGATGCATTGCTGTGTAGAAAGTACCCTGTAATAGCTGATGCGAATGTCTTATTATCTTTGGTATCCCAGTTATCCATCAGCTCTCAAGCTGTGACTAAAGAGGGTTACTTGCTGAAGGGACCAGAATCAGGAAATGACTGGCTTTTGGGGAACATTGCTACAAAATCCTTTAAGCGTCGCTATGCATGTCTCAGACAAGGTGTTGATGGCACTTACCTCTTGGAATTCAAGAAGGATGAGAGGCTGAGAGAGTCAAAGGGAGCAATTGTTCTTGACTTTTGTCAGGAGATTGTTCGGGTCTGTGAAATATGGATGCCAAATTGGATATAAGCATACATGATCTTGCATATAAGCAGGAACATCACTTGCATCATTTTTTTTTATCACTGCAGAACACCAAGAGAGGAAGGTTTGCATTTGAGCTCCGCATGGCAGAGAGACATAAGTCTTATGTGCTAGCAGCAGAATCAGAAATGGAACTTCAAGACTGGGTTGATAAGATCAATCGAGCCATACAAGCCAAGAGGCTAGAAGAGAATCGTGCTGCTTCCATTGAGAGAGGTTTGAAATTAAACTTTTTCTTTTATGTCCTGGAGCCAAGATTGAATAACATGATTGGCATTGCATAGGTATGACACCTCCTCCTGTAAGTGATGGTGAAGGCGAGGGGTGGAGCATGGGCACCCTGAGGGGCCTTGAACATAGCTTGAATCCTGTACTCACTAAATATGCACACGAGACAGAATGTTCTATTGCCACAGCCAGGAAGGAATTGCGGCAAAATCTGTTTGCTATCTATCCTGACATGCCGGTGAGTGGCAAATGCAACCTTTTCAAAGTTCAACAACTTACATTGCTTGCATAAATTTGTGTAATTTAATTTTTTTTTAATCCAGAAAATCCCTTGTGATGAGCCTCCAGATTTGGGAGACCTGGCATCACCATGGGAAGAACACTTTGGTGTGCGGTTCCTTGTTCATTGCAAAAAGCTCCTATTTAAGCTCAATAGTGAGCTTGAACCTGTAAGAAAAAGTCCTTGTTTGTTTTCAGACTCCCTTATTAGAAAGCATGTTTTACAAAGAAAGTTTCAATTCAATTTTTTTATTTTCAGATTGAGCCATACTTCACATCCCTTGCACTCTATGATGCACGAAATGGAATCAAGCTGTCTGAGGACTTCCACTTTTGCCTGAATCCTCCTGAGGTGATGGACATGTTGGATATAGAGCAACCACCTGGTTCCCCCATTTCAGAGCTTCTTCCTCATCTCAAGGATGCTCCTTCAGTTACAAAGGTCTACTTCTGTCTACAATTGATTCCATCCCATTGCTTGAAATGACTGTTAAAGGTTATCAAATACTCAAGCAATGTTCAAGTGCTGTTAAGCACTGTGGGACGAGATTTCTTTTTGGGGAAGATTCTTCTGAAGGAAAAGGAGACTTAGGTAGAAGGAAGTACAGCCTTATTATCAAAGAAAATTAAGAAGTCCTAACTTGTAAGTTCCATCTTGAAATATTTGCATTTAATATTCTTAAATTCCCTCCCTTTATGAGGAGGAATTTAAGATGTTTGGAGATTGAGATTCTTTCCTTCTGATTTTTATATGCACCAAATTTAACAGAATACTAGTTTTATCTCACCTAAACTGACTGTATTTTGGGGAAAGAAAGTAAAAGGAGGAAAGGGGAAGTTATTGGTTAAGCTGGACTTGTTGGAGCTTTCTATCCTCTAGGCCCTGTTCTCAGTGAGACATCCACATCCTGATATCTTTCTGGTTCTGAGGGTTGAGAAGGTCCTCCAAGGAAACATTCTTATGGCTTCTGAGCCCTATGTCAAGTTTCCTGACCCTCGGAATGCTGTTCGCATACACAAGATTGCCCGTGGATACTGCCAAAGGTCATTTCATATGGCTGACAGCTATCAGTATCATTCCTTTTGACTAGTGCAAGAACCATCAAGTTTGTATACCAATACAGGTTGGGTCAGTATCATATGCCATTTGCATGGGCAGCTGCTCAGATCTTCCACCTCAATGGAAAACTTGATGAGGATGCGAAGTTCTCTCCATTGTACAGACAAGATACCCTGAAAGTCTCAGATGCAGATCTTCTGAAGAACATCAGTGAAATGAGAAAGTAAACAAAAGATCTCTCTCCAATCTGTTAAAAGTTGGAAGTTAGTTCGCAAAGATAATGTTCTGAGTTTCATTGCAGAATGTCAGACAAGCAAAATAGATGGACAGTGATCCCAGGTGGATTTCACATCTCCATAACCCCTGTTCAAGACCCTCCACCAAGTTGGTTGCAACAGTTTGTCTGAAGTGGAACTTATTTTTCAAAAGGAGTTCACCTGGAGGTGTAAATTGAGGTGTTTTGCAATGCAGAAAGATTTAGTAAAAACCCATACTTTGGCATTGGACTATGCATTGGATGGAAGTCCCCAAATTTCTAGATTGTGGGGTCTAGATATAGGGCCAACTTTTCCATTTCTTCCTATGGATGGTGAAGGAAAAGTACTCGTTGCACATATATGAGCTTAATTTATGGCAGTGATATGGTGGACTTGTATCTTGTTGTAGTTCAGGTATGCTACATATGGGTTTTTAATTTGGCATAAATTTAAGAAATCATTCCATCCTTTGGAATAACAATTTCAAGATAGAGTCATAAAAGGTTCTAATTATTTTAATTCAACATGCAAAAACTAAATACCTGAGTGTTTTTCTTTGTTTTTTTTTTCAAAATGGCTGTAGTTGTTAATGTGACCTCAGTTTCTTGCAAAACAGAGTAGGTGCCTGTTATCTTTTGACTGCAAAAAGAAGTCAAGGTAACCAAGAAACTAATTGTGTGAAGCCCCTGTAAAGTTAGAGTTCCATTTTTCATTTCAGCAGTATAGTCAACCAATTTCATGCTGCCACTCAGGATACCACCACTCTCACTTACCACCAGCTCATTCCTGAGAAAAAATCTTCCCCATGAGTTTATAGTAGGTAATCCTCCATTATAGTGCCACCCTTGCAAGCTGCCATCAGCCAATGTCATTTTTTTTTTAACATGCTTTTTCCCACATAAATCCTTCTTGATTTTGCACAAAGAAGCATATATGTTGCAGCCCTATATCCAGCACTAAACAAGCTAATTATTTGTTGCCACCATGAGAGGTGACTCATTACTATAGAATGGATAATGGATAATTCACTCTATTTCTACCTTATAGTAGCATTTAATAACATTTATGCTAACCAGAGTGAGCTTTTTCCATTTTATTTCCTTAAAATACAATGGAGAAGTTGACCCTACATCTCCCTGAATGTGTCCTTTTATTCATTGCTATCATGTTGTGTCTATTTCAATCAAGCACTCATTCACTAAATATAGAAATAGTGAAATTCCTCAGTGGAAATGGTTGCCCAGGTGTACCTCCTTTATTTATACAGCATCTAAGAGGGTCCTGTTTATATTTTCAGATAGCTTGACATCTTCTCTGCAGCCATTGGACCCCTTTCCTCTACCCCTCTCCCATGCCCTCACTCTGGAAGTGGATAATTTCCCTCCTACAAAGGCTGAACTCTCCTATCCACATCTCTCATATGTGAATCACCTCCATGTCTATCCCCTGAGCCTGAAGTATGATTCACAAAAGACATTCACTAGAGCCAGAAATATTGCTTGTGTCATTGAACTCAGAGATTCAGATGAGGAAAAGGCTCAGCCCCTCCAGGTTTGTACACCTCCTGGTTCATAATTCATTCATTGAGTTGATGGTGGTGTTACATCTAGGAGTATGCTTTTAGAGAATTTATGGTCATTCTGGAGAGGACCTGTTGACAACTCAATGCTGTACCCCAGTCCTGCACCATGTTGAAAATCCTGAGTTTTATGAGGAAGTTAAGGTGTTGATGCCTCCTGGCATCCATGGAAAGCATCATCTTCTTTTCACCTTCCACCATGTTTCTTGTGAACCTCCTAAAGGGAATAAGAAACCATCAAGTGTTGATTCAATTGTGGGCTATGCCTGGCTCCCGCTTCTTCACAAGGGAAGGTTTGTCTCAGAGATTTATCATATGATGTCAGTTAGAATATTTTGAGGAAATTCATGTCTCAAAGATGACATGATTTTTGTCTAGGCTTGTCTTTGGTGAATGCAGTCTTCCTGTCTCAGCCAATCTTCCACCTAAATATCTTGCAGTTGAGGCTTTGGGTCTTGGCAAGGGAGTAAGTTATTATGCCTGTCCTTCTCTGTTAGCTGTTAAGTGATGGAAACATTTGTTGCTTGGTGCTTATTGTAGTAAAACAAATGTGGTGACTTTTTCAACTGATAGTTTGCAGGTCCAGATGTAAAATGGGTGGATGGACAGAAGCAGCTTTTCTCTGTGAAGCTGGATTACATCAGCACTGTCATGACTCCTGATCCACATCTCCATAATTTCTTCACTGTACTAGAACAGCTGATCCAGTCATCCTCTGATACTAATATTCTGAGTCCTAAGGTATGTACTGTCACCCATTTTTAAATTATAAGTCTATTGATATTCTGCAAACTGTTCCAATTCGGTCCCATATGCAGCATAAGTAACTTAAGTATAACCAAATGATGACATATACTAGGTGTGTTGAAAAGGTAATTCAAGTTTCATGGCAGCTGACCCAATCAAGAAAAGGAAAGATGCTGCTTATCTACATGGAACATTTGTGTTGAGAACTTTTTCAATTCAAGCATCCCACTATCAGGCAAGCTTGCAAATTAAGTGCTGGACCATTCTTTTCATCATCCCTGGGAGATTGAGAACCTCCCAGAAGGGTTCCTCCCCAGTATCAGTTTCCCCAAAATTGATCTCCCGTTCCCTCCAAATTAGAATTTTTTTAAGAATGAGCCACAGGAATGCTGAAAATTATATGATTTGACATGGAATAGCCTTAATGTATTGATTGAATATAAAACAAAAGGAAAAGGAAGAAGCACGAAAGAGAAGAAGGCCCCAGGATGAATTCAGAATACCAAGAAAACAAATGTAGCTGTCAAGGTGGGAGTATGGAGTAAGGTAATGAATGGAGTAATTAGTACCATAAAAAAAAATAAATTTATGCTTCCCACCTTTTAGCAGCAGTCAATAATATCACCACTCTTGGGCCAATAGGTTTGTGGTTGTGATCAGTCAAGTCCTATCTATATATCACAGAATTTTGTTACAAAATTCTGACATTGATTAAATCAGAATTACACAATTGCATCCAAGTAGGCTTTCTGCAAGCTTAATGGTTTCACTGCTTTTGTCTGCAGACTGATCTCAAAAGCCTTCTGAGTGCTGAATCTGTGAAGGATCTATCCAAATATGTGAAGGTCAGTATTTTTGACTATGTGAAATTGTGGGTATTCATGTCATAGTAGTTCACCAGAATATATTTCCTGTTAGGCCCTGCATGCAGCAGATATCTGCTGGGTATTGCGGTATCTCCAGCCTCTTCTTCATCAGCTGTTGTGCCTCCTTGCTGGTGCATTTCCATATACAAGTGAAGAGTTACAAGGTGAGGTGATCAAGGTGCTCATCCACATCATCCATTCAGCAGAAATGGCTGGACATCAAGAGGTCATCTTGTCATATGCAAAGGTGCAACTTCAACATAAGCTTTATATGTTCTTGAGCCTAAACTTGTCCTTAAAACAATTTCAATTGTTTATCTTCACAGTATGTGTTTGACTGTGACTTGGAGGAGAGTAGCTCCCCAAGGTTACAAACAACCCTTCATGAGGAGATGGTCAAAGCCATGACATTGTTGTTACGCCCTGCCAATACTGATCTTCTTATCATCAACAAGTTCATGAGACACTCTGGATTCTTCCTTCGGCTCCTTGCCAAAGCCATGGCCCGGTATCTTCTTCTGTCTGGCCGAATCAAGGTTAGCTCATTTTGAACATCTTAGTTTTTTTTTAAGTGCAAGTAGCTTGTGAACCACAGAAATTAACAAGTATCCTCTGATGTTGCAATTATTATGCCTGCTGAATGAAGAGGTGTGAAGAAACTTGTTCATAAACTTAACTCTAGAGCACTACTTGCATTCAAAACTATTGCTACCATGAGCTGCTTTCTGTATTTGTTGGTGGTCTCCAACCCTGCTGCCCTCCCTTTCCTAGATTAAGGAAATCATCTGGTGCAGCTAATGAGACACTTCTTGGTTACTACTTCTATATTCATTCTCTTGCTTAACAAACTATGGTGAAAAATGGGCTAGCTAGGACTAGCTCCACTGCCTCATGAACATAATTGAACATCACTGGAGTGTTGTGGGAGTGGAGTGAGTGGCAATGGACAGCAATAGCCTTCTGAAAAGCAGGAAAGTAATATAAAGATGTCAGCAGACTCCTGCCCATGGCATGAAATTTCCAGAATGTAGCATGCTGTGTTGTTTCATCATTCTCGGATCATCCAGGAAAGTACTATTTGGACAGATGCAAATCAAAATCATTTCCTCCCTTCATCAGGTAAATAAACTGGTTTATGACCTGTTTTACTGTCATATCAATTATTCCTGAACCAGTGTAAATCAATCTTAAGTATAAATCCTAAACCATTTCTGCTTTCCGTTTTAATGTGGTTTGCTCAGACAGAAGTGTGGATGACTATTTCAAAGCAAGTGCTGTTGTTTTTAGATGCAGAGACACGAGAGATTCGCAGCAGATTTCCTTTATCGACTGAGGAATTTTGTTCAGGTTCTAACTCCTCACATCCTTCAGAAGTTTAAGGAACTTCCCCTTGAGACAAGAGAAGTTAACTTCTGCTTAGCTCAGTTCCTCAAGGTGAGACAAGCCTCAGGCAGATCATATAATTTGTTACTCATAGAGTTATGAAAATTGTGGCTTATTCTTATAGAAATGCCTGAGCCAAATGGACAGAGAATATGTATTTAAACTGATCAGTTCCTACACATCCAAATTCAGCCCTGGGGACCCTCCCCTGCTTCAAGAGTACAAACTGGACTTCCTTCGGGAGGTTCTGTCTCATGAACACTATGTTCCTCTGAATCTTCCTATAGTCACTACTCGTCGAGGAGAAGAGGAGGGTAGGGAAATAAAATAAACTGAGGATTATCTTTCACTCTTTGTATCTTTAGACCAAAAAGTCTGAACTTCTTAGTGCTTCACTTTTTCAGATTTAAGCCGATTGTTCACGCTCTCTATGGACTTCTGCTCCAAGCACTTCTTATCTGGTCTCCTCCTACGGGAAGTGAGACTGGCCCTCAATGAGCTTCCCAATGTCCGACGTGTTGCCCTGAATATCCTCAGAAACTTGTTGGCTAAGCATTCCTTTGATGATCGATACTCCTCTGCAGTGAGTCTTGACTCTCCTACAGTTTGTCTAAGAGGTCCCTTCCTCTTCAAAATCCTTTCATTGTCATTCCGCATAGGTGAGGCAGAGTCGAATTGCTCTTCTCTACTTGCCTCTCCTCCCCATTATATTGGAGAATGTGGACCGCTTTGATGTTGAGCCAAAAAGAAGAAGAACTGATGCTGGAAGTGCTTCATCCCTCCTGTCAGGCTCAACATCTCTCACCCTGTAAATCTATTTTTCTTTTAAGGGGTGACACAAATTTATCCCATAAGCAATTATTTAACTCAATGTTGATATCCATTGGTACTAGGGGAACCAACACACTCACATCTACAGACACATCATTCTCCAGAGACTCCACCTATCTTTCTCTCATCTCTGGTCCAGGTACTGTGGTTGCACATCCCTCACTTTGATATTGCAAACTTTTTTTACATCTGGCTGCATAGGATGGTTTTGGTCATATAGGGAATATCCTACGTAACCGAGGTTCTTATCGCTCACTGCCAACTGGGGAAGTAAGCGAACCAGAGAAGAAAGAAAAAGAGAAGCAATCGAAAGTCACAGAGGCAAAGGGGAATGAGGAAGAGGATGAGGATGATACTCCAACCCCAACTGGGACACCTTCTTCTTCTCGTAGCAGCAGTCGCAGACATCGCAGGTAACCACTCAAAGTGTTGGATGATGTTTATGTATGTGATTGAATTTTTCATAATGATATGTGGGGTCATTACTAATTCAGGATGGAAAGTGTGGCCATGGGAACCATCCGGCAGGATAAGCTTTCACCAAATGAAGTCAGAGACCTGCTCCTTTGTTTCCTTTGGGTTGTGAAGAGTGCAACAGCAGAGTCACTGATTGCATGGTGGAAGACATGTTCTGCCGAAGACATGACGGCATTCTTCCGGGCACTTGAGTCAGTCTCCATTTTAGTTGAACTTGTATTCATTGCTATAAATAATCAACTTCCCATGTGAAGAGAGTGGGAGTTAGAGGGTTTTAAGTATGTGCTGCTATGAAGGGTATGCAGGAGACATCATGGTTTGAAAGTAATGCAAAAAGTTTTAATTTGCCTCTTATCCCTTAATATTCCAATTAGTTTGAGACCTTGAATACCTTGCTTTGAATGACTAAAAAATGTGTTTTGCTCTATTTCCACCATGCTTGAGGTGCTTTTGACTTTAATTGCTTCTCCTCTATTGAAAGGAGCACCCTCTGACTTTCATTTATCTGTACTTGCATTCTAAAGCATTCCATTATTTTTATCACGATGACAGATTAAGTCTTCACCAATTCCGCTACCAAGGACGAAGCAAAGAAGATCAACAGGTGTCCCGGTTCTCGGTATATGTTGAAAGGGGGATGTCTGGATCCCTGCAGATCCAGGGAAGCAACGAGGGTCATCTAGTGAGGTCTTCCACGATGCCAGCGCGTTTTGATTCAGAGAAGGCATCTTCTCTCCCTCTTGGTTCGCCACTGCACTCTCAGCCTAAGCGACAAGGTATTTTTAACCCTTCTAAAAATATAAACTGAGGAGTTCAAACACCAGTTTTGAATTTCCGGAGTTCATTTTCCAGAGAGCCTGGCCCCCTCTGAATTGGATTCCATGTTTCATTCCTTGATGGAAGCAAATCTGGCCACCGAAGTGGGGTTGATTGTATTGGATGCTTTGGGTCTTTATAAGCTTCATTTTCCAAATCGCTTGTCTATGGACAACGGCCAGAATTCAGCGATGAAGAAGTTTCTCGATATTTCCCTGTACTTTCTCCAAGTCAGTCAATCGGAGACTCTTCTCAAGCATGTGTTCGCCATGTGGAGGGCTTTCATCAACAAGTTCTCACAGGTTTGTTGCCAATTTAGTCTTTGGCGATTTGGATGAAATAGTTATTGAAAGATAATTTCGAGGGATATCTTCTTCATTCAGGTGCTGTTCACCGGCAGCGCTGAGTTCTGTGGGAAACTGTGCTACGAACTGCTAATGTGTTGCAACAGTAAGCTTCCATCAACACGCAGTGAAGCTTCGTCTCTTCTCTATCTCCTATTGAGGAGCAACTTTGAATTTACGAAGAGGAAGGGAGTTACTCGTGTGCACCTCCAGGTACATGCCTAAGTTTTATTTCCTTAATTTTGCGGTCCTTTTTTCATATATATTACTTCGCATTTTAATTTATTTTCTTGAAGATGTCAAAGTATTTTAAGAAGGATAATTTTTTTTTTAGATTGTGATTTCGGTGTCGAAGCTACTCGGTGAAGTGGTGTCTCTCAACAACAATCTCTTCCAAGAAAGCCTGTCTCGAGTGAACAGTTACGCCGCCGCAGACAAGGCCATGCAGAAGACTGGTAAGCAGTGATTTATAATGATAATCAATTTAATAAAATAATATTGTATATAACATCATCATAAAAAAGAATAGTCGAGGTGCATCGGGCGCGGCGGACCCATCTTTCCTTCTTCGCCCTGTTGAGACTCCTGCAAGAGTTCTCATGTATTGCATACGGAAGGAAAGAAGACAAAGCCAACGATATGGAATTCGTCGTGATCGTCGCTCAGAATTCCGAGTAATGAAAGTGAGAAGCAAGGTCCATATCCACTCAAGAAGTTCGGGAAGAGCGCAATTTAAATTTTTATTTTTAGAATGGGATATTACCATAACAATGCAAGGAATTGCCTGACAAACGCAGGCTTACATTTGAATGAGCGTAGTTCTATAGTCAACTTCTCGTTAACTCGGACTCGAGGGGATCGCCTGAAACCCCAAGCCAGTTTATCCGGATTAATCCTGATCGAGTGATTACTCACTTTTTTGGTCATTTCTTGGAGAAGAAAAAACCAATTGATAAACGGCATCATGCGTTAATATATTCTGGTTTAATTTTTTTTCATGCATCCGTAAATTGATTTCTCCAACCTGTAAAACCGAAGAAATTTGTTTTATTTGTTTATTTTTTGCTTGGAATGAATTCTTTGAAGAAGCGCTGTTTCAGGCGTCAAAGGCGGACGTATTTCCCTTCCAATTGACTTGCTCTTCGAAGCTTATATATGGGTTTGGGGGAATGACGCGTTATAGTAACACTATAATATCGTGAATTCGAATTTATTTTGTAGAGTCTTGAATAGATTCGAACACTCATACGAAGTTTCCTATCGTAATCTTCATTGACTCAACCTCTCGCAACCGGAAGAAGGTAATTACTGCAAGTTTCTTTAGAAATTTAACGTACAGCACGTGGGAGGGCGGATACTCTCCGAGGCCACGTGAGCCTAAGGTAGATGTGATCGAGGAATGAAATACAAAGAAAACTGCAGTGCGAGAGTTGCAGTCATAAATGAAAGGAGTATTACATGTAATCTCTGCGGTTTTATTTTCGTTCAGGAGGGGGGAGATAAAATAGGAGACAGTTTTTTTTGTCCGGGTAGGCGGAGTATTGACAAGGAAACTTTTTTTTCCGGATAGGCGGAATATTGACAAGGAAACGAAACCGGATATATGTATTTATATATTTTTTAGAAGAGCTGACCTGAGATGGAGGAGGGAAAATAAAGTAATTTTTTCTGAATGACTTTTGCACCTTTTATCCACAATGAGCTGGTCTGAGAGACTTGTGAATTTCTTCGTACTGGCAAAAGCTACGGATTGATAGCGTTCAAATGAACAGAGAATTTTTATGTAGACTCGTTGAGATTGCTGTCAGAGACTGTTTTGTCCTTATTAAGCAAAGCATCCCATCATTAGCGTTCCGATCCACGTGTTTCGAATGCCAGGATTCAGGTCTGAGGTGCAAGACGTGACTCGGCGCGTCCGCACGGTGTTGATGGCCACGTCTCAGCTCCGGGAGCACGATTCGGATCCGGAGACCCTGGCGGAGCTCCAGCACAGTCTGGCCAACAGCTACGCGTCCACTCCGGAGCTGAGGGTCACCTGGCTGGAGAGCCTGGCCAAACTGCACGGCAAGACGGGGAATTTCTCCGAGGTCTGTCGGCTGGGGTCGAGAAAGATCGCGGTGTTGCACTTCGATGCGGGGTGACCGATCTGTTTTTGGTTACAGGTTGCCATGTGTCAGGTTCACATAGCGGCCGTGATGGCGGAGTTCCTCCGACTCCGAGGCGTCTTCCCCGAAGGAGCGAGAGCCTTCGAACGTCTGTCCCCGAATGTACCTCTAGAGGAATGCGGACTCAAAGACGACCAAGGCATGCCCTCCGCCGCTTTCTTCTCGCGTTTCTTCCCTCGTTGACCCGCTTTGAACCGGTCGTGATCGTGTGCACAGGTCTTCAGGAAGTGCCATACTCGGAGGACACATTCATCGCTCACCTGGAGCTGTGTGCCTCGTGCCTGGAGAAGTCGGAGCGATGGGAATGCCTGGGACCCCTCTATCGCATCATCATCCCCTTTTACGAAAAGCGGAGAGATTTCACCAGCCTTTCCAATTGCTATGGCCATCTGGAGCGGTCCTATCGGAAAGTGCACGAAGTGAATCGCCTGGGGAGGAGGTTCCTCGGAACCTATTTTCGACTTGCCTTTTATGGAGAGGTGAGTCGTACCGAGGAGTAGCGGACATTACGTTCTCTTGAATTTTGGTTTCACCGTCGTGAAAATCGTGCTAATAGCGTAAATTGTAATGGAATGCGATCTCTCTTGCTCGAACTTTGTCAAGATAGTAATAAGCTGTTGATGTCGCGTGCTCGTCGTCTTGATGTCTCTTTAAAGTCAGTAAGGCCATAAAGCAATTTCATTTAAACGTTGCAACAATCAGCATGTCTTTGAAACATGCTAACTTTGTCATAGTGTCCCTCAGTGACATCCTGACGATGTCACGGAGGATGGAAAACAATGTTTGTTTCTGCTTTGCCATCTTGTGATCTTTGGGTATGAACTTGAGCATTTCATGATTTGGAGTTCTCTCTCCCTCGTCCAGGTCTACTTTGAGGCATTGAGTGGTCAAGAATTCATTTACAAAGAGCCGAACGTGACGACGTTGGCCGAGTTCTCCGAGCGGATTGAGAACCAGTTCGGCCAGAAGTTTGGAGCCGATTCCCTCCGGATCATCAAGGACTCCAATCCTGTCAGTTTTCTCAATTCTTTCATATGTAGACTTTCTGTTTCGTTTCCATTTATCAAAACCAATCCTGTATTTGGAAACTTGGATCTACTGAAGGTGAACGAAGAAGAGCTGGAGTCTAGGTATGCATATATTCAGATCACGAGTGTTTTGCCGTATTTCGATCCTTCAGAAGACCGCATCACTGAGTTCGAAAGGAACCATAATGTGAAGAGGTCAGTTGCCGTTCCATGACGTTAATCATCTTGCGCCTGAAGATGAATTTGCTTTCATTAACAATTGGATAATCTGGATGCAAAACGGTTTATTTAAAGGCTAATGGTTTATTTTAAATAAAGTTTATGAAAATCAAAGGCAGTGGCCACATGACAAACATGGATTTGGAATTCTTTAGGTTTGTGTATGAAACTCCTTTCTCGAAAGGAGAGGGTAAGGCTGCTCAAGTGAACTCAGTTGCTGACCAGTGGAAACGGAGAACCATTGTGACAAGTGAGTCTATCTCCTGCAGCTCTGCTTCCAAGAATGATTATGATTTATTAAAATTTATAAGTTTTGAAATTTCAGTAAACTTTGGTGTTGATGGAAATATTGCATTTATCCTATTCAGTTTATGGTCCTGTTCATTCTCCAACAGAATTCACATTCATTGGCCTAAAATACAGAGTGTAGTATGTTGCATGACAAGGCAAGCTGTGCAAATATTATTTTATTTAACTTTTATTGGATATTAGCACCTATACTGCATGTACAGTGTATCTGAATGATCTGGTGATTTCATCATTTCAGCATCAGTATGTCTACCATACCTGGAGAAGAGAATCCAGATTGTGGCCAAGCAGGTGGAAGAATTGTCTCCAATTGAGGTTGCCATAGAAGAAATGGCTGGTCGTGTCAAAGGACTTCACAAAGTACTTGAAGGTTCCACCATCGATGTGAAAAAGCTTCAACTCATTCTTCAAGTCTGAAACTCTCCTTCACCTATTCAGTGACCTTTCTAGCTGGATTTTCTGCTATGTCTGTGGGCTTTTTTTTTTTTTTACAGGGGAGCATCAGTGTGCAGGTGAATGCAGGTCCTATTGCCTATGCCAAGGCCTTTTTGAGTGATGAGAATGCAGTCCAATACCCTGCAAACCATGTGGCTCGCTTGATGGACCTTTATCGGTGAGAAGCAGTACCTGAAAAATTATTTAATCATCCAGAAGAGTACACATAGTTTGATATCATGTTGCAGGGAGTTCATCGATGTGTGCGAGGAGGCACTGGAGACGAATGGGCGCCTGATTGGAAGCGAGCAGAATGAATACCAGGAGGCACTGAAGACGAGTTTCTACAATTTCTTAGACTCTCTGCGGGTGATCGTGCCAGATTCAGCACTGTTTGGGGATGAGGGGGCAGATACGAATCTCCTTGCCAAGCGCAGTTCTACTGCCCTGTTCAACATGATAAGTGGAACTGCATCCACCATCCACCCTTAGACACATTGTGGCCTGCTGCCATATTGAACATGATCAACTGAACTGCATCTGCCATCTATCTCTCTACAAACTGAGTCATATCAAAAATCTTTCCTGCTGCCAAAGAATTTCATTTGGTTGTTCTCTGACTTTTATGTGCAAGTGGTTTGATATTTACATTTCTGCTGTTTTGCTTGTACAAATGGGCTTTATTTTCTAGTCCCTTGACTGCTCTTTGATGATATTATGATAACCTGATATTATGTGAAAATAAAATTCAAAGCTTCTGAATTCACACTGGCATCATTCACATGGCAAGTGAGGTGGGTCCTTTCTCTTCTGGTCCCATTAAGCATATGAAGCTGCATCTTACCCCAGTTTTTCAGCAATCCCAGAGGGGTTGATTGCATTCAGAGAGATTTTAAAGTTAACCTGTGCAAGCTGCATTCTTTGCAAGTGCACTTTCCCAACCTGAGGGAAGCTCCACATGGGACGTAAAGACAATAACAGCCTGTATTGCTTGCATAGCATTCTATTACAAGGCCTGTCTGGCTTCTGAAGAGCAGTTTCATTGCCCTGGAAAATGAGAGAGAGAGAAAACTTGAATCATAAGTTCTTGCATTGATCTTGTTCTGCATCTTCTGAATCTCATCTTTGAAATGAACCAAAATAATTTTGACTCACAGAATAGACTGAGAAAGTCACCCCCACATATCAGAGAGTAAACCCTGCTTGAAACTTAAAAAAATTCTAGTTCAAGAACTTTTAGATAGGAAAATCGTCGCATTTTCACGTGAATTACTGATGGCAATTGGATTATTAAAAAAAAAAACAAAGGGTAGAGCTGGTAAAATAATTATCTATTTTTGTGAGCTGGAACGGATTGACCCCTCTTACTTACCTTGTTTTCGATGTTTTCTCACATACGTCAGTTCTTATGAACCCATGGCTGCTTTACGCGCGGCTTCCAGATAATGCTCATGCTCAATATCTCAAATGGAGACCGACTGTGGAATGCAGCAGACAATGCGCTCATGGATGAACCTCGATTAGCTTCACTCATCTGCTCATTCCAAACGCCACGCTTCAAAGCTCAGTAAACCGTGGGAAATATGATGTTGACTGAAGATAATAGGAAAACCCAGAACCAGAAAGCGCGCAGTTTATGCAGTGAAGTGCTGAGGGTAGGAGAGCTGGAAATGGGTTATCTGGTAAATTAGTCATACGAATACCGTTTTTCGAGGTCATCTGGCGAGGACTCTTTTCCCAGACTTTTTTCAGTAGACTATTGTCAGTGTTGGGCGCGTTACTTGTGAAAAGTAACTAGTTACAATTACAAGTATTTCATCCAAAAAGTAATTAGTTACCAGTAGAATTACTTCTCACCAAAA